TTATATTCTTACCATATTTAATATGTATCTTACATAGTATAATATAAGAAATGAATATTAAAATCTTTTATTTTTTCAACCAATAAAATTAAAAATTTAAAATCCTTAAAAATATTTAGTTACATAAATAAAATATCTTTAATTTATTCACTAGAATTTAGATTTAAATAGAAAATTAGTATAACTAATAAATTATATATATATATATATATATATATATATATAGAGAAGGGAGAGAGAGAGAGAGATGAGAGAGAGAGGATAAGAGAGAGAGGAGAGAGAGAGAGAGAGAGAGAGAGAGAGAGAGAGATTGTATTTATAATTAAAATTTATTCAAAAAATATTTAGTTGGATCAGTGTTTGCATAGACATCTTGTACATATGTTTTAAGTATATTTATATATTATATCTTGGCGACGTCATAAATGATTTAGTTTGATAAAAATGATGCAGCGACTGATCAGTCTGAGGGAAGTGGAGAAGGAAAAATAAAGGAAGCCACTAAGAAAGCTATGCAAGTGCAAAGTAAGGAGTAGTCCCACTAAGAAAGCTAGAGCATGTGACTCCCCACTATATATATATATTTTTACATGCTTATAGTTATGTTCTAAATCTAAAAATGGTATCTAGCTTGCATTGTTGGGGATAAAATGCGGATTGCCGACTGCACCTAAGTAATGCACTTTGCTGCTGCCTGCCTGCCGACTTTTCATTACTTCGTGCACATGGGCGCAAGAACTTTGTGCTGTTTTATTATAAAATAATTATTCTGTTCTTGCTATTTTATGAACCAACTGTTTTAGAACTTTGAACTTTGAACTTTGAACAGTGTAAGCACCGTGAGCTTACTCTCGGAACTGAGCTGCAGCTTAAGCACCCTACTGTGGTGCGTGGGCATAGATACATACGAGAAAATAGATATATATTGAAGAGCCAAAATATGAGAACTGTGGTATGATTTCAAAGGCGATTCTCCCATAGAGTTCTTTTAGCCACTGCATGATTAAGCTGCCCAAGTTGTGAACTTGGTGTGACAAGTTTGATAGAAGCAATTAAACACGATAGAATAGAACACAATTAATGTCTATTATAACCTATACAATATATTCTCTACCTTTCACTTTAACAGAACAAACGGGCATTTTACTTTGTTCGACTTTAAGTGCTCATTTAAGATTTTTTTCTCAAAAAAAAAAAAAAAAAAAAAACAAAAAAAAAAAAAAAAAAAAAAAACACGGCTAAAAAAAAAAAAAAAAAAAAAAAACACGCTAATTTAAGATTTTAAGACTATATTAATATTTTTTTGATTTTTACCCATATTTATTAAATATAATTTATTTTTATGCTTAAATTAATTGTTCTCTTTTTTAACCTTACTTTAATTGTAGTTGATTGCACAGATAACTAAAAGGTTTTCATTGTATCAACGGATAAACAAATGAAACAAAAGAATTATTCTAATGGTGGTGTTCTAATACGAGATAAAATAAGTATTGGTTTTGTAGTAAAATTAAAAAAGAGAGTTTTTAATTTTAAGAGTATCAATTTAGGCATTCTATTATATATTTTTAGAAAATCAATGCGTTTATTATTTTATTAATTCGTATAAAAAGATAAAATGTTGCTATTAAAGCAGGAGAAAGAAAATAATTTTTTTTTTTTTTTTTTACAAACCAGTATCAGGCTAGCAAACAGATTAAATTTTAAAACCCTGCCCAGTTGACAATAAATCCACAACACAGTTTCCTTCCTATATACATGCATGTTATATGTCTACTTAGAGAACTGTATCCTTTGTATAATTTATTTTAATATAGTAATGATCTTCTATTATTCTATTTAGTTTATTATTGAAAGAAAAGAAAATAATAGAAAACATTAAATTCAGGAAATTATAAAATTATTTATGGTTCAAATAATTTTTTTTTTGGCTTATAAACACTAATAGTATAATAGAAAACTTTCTATTGAAATGAGGATATTTCTAGAAAGAAAGAAAAAAAAAATCTCCAACTGCTAAAAAGATAGAAAGTTGCATGGTGAGTTATCGATTTGGGTTATAATTAATTATCAACAAGCAAATTGTAAATCAAAAATGTAATTAATTACTATCACGATACAGAGGTGTTCAATAAAGTGTAATAATTACAATTGAATTCGTCTGGAAAATGATAGTATAAGATATGCTAGTGCGCCATAATGCAGTTTTAGAATTATTGGCTGAAAAATATTTTCCATTTAATCTTGTAAGAGTGGAACGTGTATGTATATATTCACCTTTGTGATCGAGATGATTCGAACTCGAAATCTTCCGCTCTTTACATATCTTCTACATGATATTGAAAGACCAGCTAAAACATAATTGATTGACGACATATATATACATATCTATATTACATATAAAGGTGGGAATGAAAGCGAAATAACGGGGATTTCCGATAATATTCTTAATGAAATTTTGAAATGTTCTAAAATAATTTTATTGATGAACAATTAAATTTTATTTTAAATATTATGCTTAATAGATAATTAACGTTAACTATATTAATAAATATATTTTATTTTTAATTTTATGTTTTAATATTTAATGATTATGATAATAAGTCTATACATGAAAATGGGTAAAATTCTTCTATTTGACTATATGCTATGTTTTAATTTGTTCAATTTAGAAATTTAAATCAAATCGTTAGAGCTTTACGAATATACATTAATTTATGTATTTATTATATACACGTGATGTTACTCTCTTTAACTTTATAGATAGAGAAAATAAATTGTGATAATCGTATTAATCTATAGTGACATGTGGGAAATAGAGGAGGAAAGTTATGATTAATTATTTTAATGTTATATAATAAGGCTATACATGAAAATTAAAAATTCTTCTATTTACTATATCTATTTTTAATTTTGTTCAATTTAGAATTTAAATCAAATGGTAGAGCTTTACATATTACATAATTTATGTATTTATTATATACATTATGTTACTCTCTTTTAACTTTATAGATAATAAAATAAATTTATAATCTATAATCTATATACATGTGGGAATAGAGGAGGAAATTATGAGATTTTCTAAAATAACCTTAGCTTAATTTGAAATTCCTAATATATCATTTTAATTAACTTTTTATGCATTTTAATCGGAGAAAATAAGTCTATTTATCCTTTTGAAAATCATTTTTAGTTGTATTTTTAATGTCTTTTAATTGAAAAAATATATTATATTTATGCTTTTGAATATCCTTTTAATTAGACTTTTTATGCATTTTAATTCGAGAATATATATATATGTATATATATATATATATATTCTCTGTTTGATTTTGTAATATTATTGTCCAATGATTTTTATAATTAATAGTTTTTTTATATTCTTAATAATATGTTCTTATATTATATTGCTTTTTAGGAGATAAATTGAAAACCTTAATTCAACTATTGAAAATAAAACTTAAATTCTATTAATTTATTATGTTCTGAATTTTTTAAAATATGATTAAACATTTTATTATTAGACTATATTGGTTAATTACAATGAAATTAAAATAAATTTTTTAAATATATTATTTCTCTTTGATTTTTTTGAGGAGGATGGTGTACACTTTTTACCTCGAATTATTCAAAATATTAATAAAAGTCGTTCGTTTAATAGACAATTATAAAAATTATCATGAGAAAAATAATTTTTAAATATATAAATTTAGAAACTTCGTAAATATTTTGGGACATCCAGAAAAGAAATAATAAGTGAACAAAATCGAGTGGAGAAAGTATTAATTTTAAGGGGATTATCTAAATATGATGGCTTTGATGACATAGATTTTGCAAATACATAATAGCAATTATCAGGATAAGCAACTAAGCAATATATATTATAGATTACTAATAAATCTGCTAACAGATTGTATATGTAGAAGTGGTCCTTGTCCTCTGAATTATCGAAACCAAAAGAGAAAATGGTACAAATTAATTAAAAATAATGTATGAAAAGAGAATAGTATTATTTGAATATGAATATGTGCTATAGTTTTTGTTTTATTTCCCCAATTTCCATTTTTTGTTTCATCTCCTAGTGGATGTGTTACACAGACACAGTAGCTCACTCCTTCTAGTAACAACCCATCCTGCTACTAAAAGCATAAACTATTCTTCAGCCTTTATTTATTTATTTATTAGTTTTATTAATTAAGCATTTCATATAATTGTGAGCTCTTTGCACAAAGGATGTGCGATAAGGGATAGAGAAACTGAATGAGCTTTTTTTAAAGAATGTTTTCAATAGCCTGTTTTCACGTAATTCATTCTTGGGAGAGTAATTCATTCTTTAATAAACATAAATCCTAAGTTATATGTTTAAAGTGGAGCTAAAGATACACCAGCCGCAGGATGATTCCCAAAGGCATGAATAGATATTCCCACGACTAGGGCCCAAAGGTTATCAGTGGTGTTGAAATATTTGCCAACATATTATATCATTTCAACGCACATCACTTTCATCTATTCTTTCTTGACAGATATTCTCGTTCCTTATGGTGCAGTTGCCCAACCAAACACTCTTGTACTTGATTTGATCTGTTCATATCTCATTTAAATGTGCTTAAAACCACATAACAACGCGTTTGTGTTTAAGTGAAATATATTTAGGGCTCACGGACTGCATATTAACAGGCAAAAAAAAAAAGAAAAAAGAAAAAAGGGTTGATATTAAATAGTGATCTTCTTAATTAAGCCAATATCGCTGAAAGAAAATTAGGTCCAATAAGGCTATGCCTAACAAATTAATTCCTAATGTACTAATTACATGAATTATGGGCGACAGCAAAAGCACACTAGTGGGTCTACTAGTGTGAGTGTATATTTGTGCGTGTTTGTCTATTGGACCACATTGTGGGGTCATCAAAAATTTTTCATAATCTTCAAGCACTTCCCAATCCCAACCGATCAAACGCGCATTTGGACCATAACCCCAATTTCTATAAATACCATTGCCTTCGACGTGCATTTCTAAACCAAAATTATGGGACTTAAATACATTCCCATGGCTACCAATAGAGTTCTTCCAACGATACTTCTCTTTGTGCTGTTAGGTTTAGGTATATGTTCTGCAAGAAGATCCCTAACTTCTCTTGAAGCACACACTTATGGTGGTATTGTAACTAGAGGTTTTGGTGGGGGAGGTGGCTCGGGAGGTGGTGGTGGTATTGGATATGCATCTTCCGGGGCAAATGGGGTTAATGCATATGGAGCTGGTGTTGGTGGTGGAGAAGGCAGTGGTGCTGGATATGGTGGCACTGGAATTGGTGGTGGAGGTGGTGGAGGTGGCGGCACTGGGGGTGGTGTCGCTCATGCTGGAGGAGCAAGTGGTTCTGGATATGCCTCTGGTGGGGGTGAAGGAGGTGGTGCTGGATATGGTGGTGCTACTGGAGTTGGTGGTGGTGGCGGTGGTGGTAGTGGAGCTGGTGGGGGTGGCGCCCATGCTGGAGGTGCTAATGCCGCTGGATATGGCAGCGGTGGTGGTGAAGGCGGTGGGGCTGGCTCTGGTGGTGCTATAGGATACAATGGTGGTGGTGGTGGTGGTGGTAATGGTGGAGGGGGCGGTGCAGGTTATGCTGGAGCAGCCGGTGGTGCGGGATATGGTAGTGGTGGTGGTGAAGGTGGTGGTGCTGGATATGGATCAGGAGGAGGCAAAGGAGCTGGTGGTGGCGGCGGCGGAGGAGCCGGTGGTGGTGCTGGAGCAGGATCCGGTGCTGGTGGTGCTGGCTATGGTGGTGGTGAAGGTGGTGGTGCTGGATATGGTTCAGGAGGAGGCAAAGGAGCCGGCGGTGGCGACGGCGGTGGAGCCGGTGGTGGTGCTGGAGCAGGATCCGGTGTTGGTGGTGCTGGTTATGGTGGAGGTGAAGGAGCTGGATCTGGAGGAGGCTATGGTGCTGGTGGTGCTGGTGGTGCAGGATATGGAGGTGGTGGTGGTGGAGGTAGTGGTGGAGGTGGTGGGGCAGGATCTAGTGTTGGAGGAGCTCATGGAGGTGGATATGGCGGTGGCGGTGGAGAAGGAGCTGGTCATGGAGGTGGAGCAGGGGGAGCTAGTGGTGGAGGAGGTGGTGGCTCTGGTGGTGGTGGTGGAGGCGGCTATGGTGCTGGTGGTGGATATGGAGCTGGTGGTGGGAGCGGTGAAGGTGGTGGCCATGGAGGTGGATATGCACCATAAGAGTTACCATTGTGTTACTAATGCATTGATACAATTATGCAAGTTTCATATAAAACTAAGAAAAGAAAAACCTACCAATAAGGAGATGCTTATAGCTTATGTGTTATGTATGAAAGCTAAATTGTTGGTCTTGTAATTGACGCAATTGGTAAGTAATTAATATGTTTTGCAGCAAGTAGAATGCCAAGGTAGATCATCCAAAATATTAGGTAATATGTGAATGCCTCCATTTAGTGGGCTACTTGCATTATATTACATATATAATAAATGTGGGATTATATATATTGGATTAATTTAGTAAATATTGCTGCATGATAAGGAATACAAATAAGAGACGGGACAATTTAATTAAACAAACCATATAGCAAGGTAAAAATTTTATAGGATGCACTAAGAGCGAATGTTGCATTCTTACATGGAGTGTAAATGTATATATCTTAGCCCACTCAGTTGGGATTAAATTTTTTGTTTACAATAAGTCGATCTATATTTAGAGTGTTTGGAGCGAGCATCTTCTCTATCCATTGTGAGTATTTAAAATTAAGTAAGAGAATGTTTGAACGACACTGTCTCTTTCTAATCAATCAACATCTCAAACTGGTCTTCCTTTCTAGGAGCCTAAAGTTAAAAATATTGATTACTTTTGCATGATACAGCGATTATAGTTCTAAGGACATAGTTGAGAATAAAGGTAGGCACACAGTGTATTCGGCTCAAATAAATTGAAACGAATAAATTGAGAATTTTAAGATGAAAATCGAATCAAATTAAGTAGTGTACATTATTGAATTAAATCGATTTGATTCAAAGTTTAATAATTTTTAATTATTTTTGTAAATAAAAAAAATTGAAACACCAAATAGTATAGAAAATTTTAATTTATACAAGATTTGTAAATAAAACAATTTGAATATTGAATTTCTATATCTATTGTTATGATAGGAGTTCTTGCAGAAATATGGATACAGTACTTTCTAGAAATATTTCAAAGACTAAATAGTAATTTATGCTAGAAATATTTTAAAAATCATGTCCTCCTAAAAAAGCAATTTAAAATACTTTGCTCTAACTTCTATTTTTGTTTCCTTGTATACTATTTTAATCTAATGAGATTAGAATAATTGCATGAAAAATATATGAATTTTGCTTTTCAAGAAAATTATAATATTTGTTTTTTTAATTCCTTTTCAGTATTATTTTTATTTTTCTTAATGGAAAAAGAAAGTCAAGTAAATTGTTAACCTAGATATATGGGGATATGTAGAATATGTAGAGTCGGATTGCATCTAAGGTAAATTCTTTTATACAATGAAACAACTCTCTAACTGAGCTGTGCAAATGGAAGGTTTGGTTTTAAAACAAATTTAAAATTGGAGACCCAATTTCTCTTTTTTTCTTAAATTGAAGTGCACTACAGTTTATTTGAAATCGAACCGAATTGATTCACTTTATTTTAGGTCAATTTGATTAATTCGATTGGTTTTGGATGAAAATCACTCATAAAATTAAAATTATAGTTATTTAAAAATTCAAACCAAAACCACTTCGAATATCGAAAATACCTAAACTAGAAAATTAAATTAGATCGGTTCATATCGTTCCTTGATTTTTTAACTATTTTTGCTTACATATTCCTAATCTATATAAGAAATCAGGGGTTAAATCACTGAAAATTCAATCTATCTATTTAAATTATGGTTTTAGGACTAAAGTCGCTTAAATCAAACCAAATTATAACTAGACTAGATGGGTTCAGATCAATTTTTCGATTTTAACCAATTTTTGCTTACCCCTAATTAGGGATGGCAACAGGACGGGTACTCGCTAGAAATCAACTACCCGAATCCGTTAAGCAATAAACTAACAATACCCAAATCCATTTTTAATTACTCGCATACTACTCGAACCGGTTAATAACAAATTCATTCAAAAAAAAAATGTAAAAAATACAGTAAAATTCAACATGAAATAGTAAAATAATTCAACTGTAACATTCTAAAACAACAATACTAGTAATATTAATATAAACATAATTCTTGAACTCGCATTTTTCCAAGAACCAAGATTGCAAGAATTAACAATCAACATCATCTTCTTCTGCACAAGAAAACATTTGACTCCACACTTGAACAAGAATCTGCAAAATAAATAAATAACAACTTTGATATTATAATAATTTGATTAACAAAGTCAAAACAGGTGAAATAGGTTGAAAATAATTCAACCTGTAAACATTCTAAAAACAACCAATACTAGTAATATTAATATAGAACATAAATTCGTTGAACTCGTCATGTTTCCAAAACAAGATTGCAGAGAAATATTAATATAAACATAATTCTTGAACTCGCATTTTTCCAAGAACCAAGATTGCAAGAATTAACAATCAACATCATCTTCTTCTGCACAAGAAAACATTTGACTCCACACTTGAACAAGAATCTGCAAAATAAATAAATAACAACTTTGATATTATAATAATTTGATTAACAACCAACATAATCAAATTAAACTAGTTGAAGCCTATAGCCGAGTTTAGAGACAATAACAAAGAAAAAAACTATCATCAAGATAACACAAATTGTAAAATAATACATGTTCCTTAGATCTAATTAAGTCTATTTTAATACTGAGAATAAACAAGTTTAAACTTAAAAGCAAGAACAACAGGGTCTCTTTGAACCTGAAAATGCCTTATCAGATTCCAAGATTTAGATTCTTACAATCTGAGGAGAAAGAAAGTGAAGATAAATTCAACAAATAGAGCTCCTGTTTCATCTAGGATATAATATAATAATTTCATCTAAAAAGTGAATCATTTTAGATGGAAAATAACAAATAAAACATCCACAAAATCCACAAATGAAAAAAAATAAAACAACAAACATATATTTCTCGGCTGAACCCACAAATTAATTCAATAATATATTCAACAATTCCTCCTCCTCGTGTGTTTATATGTATTTATATAAAAAATAAAAATAAAAATAAAAAAGAAAAGGGACGAAGGAGAACGAAAGAAAAAATAAATGGAGAACGAAATAAAAAAAATCAAGAATTAAACTTTTTTTAATGGTTAATAATTTTTCCTAATTATCAAACTACAAAAAATTCAATTAAATTACTAAGACACAATACTATAATATATTTTATTTAAAAAAACTAAATTTAAATTATTAAGATATTATAATTGAATGTATGTAATTTTATTAAATTTTAGTTATGAATAAAATAAATTATTAAGATATTATAATTGAATGTATGTAATTTTATTAAATTTTAGTTATGAATAAAATTATATTACTGTCCAATATGATGTGAAAACGTAACCATGAATTTATTGTCTTCAATGAATTTATTGTCTTAATAATATTGATCTTTATAATTAATATTAATATTAACCTTTATAATATTTTATACGTGGATTCGCTAAGTTTATAAAAAAAATAAAACTAAAATAAAGGAAGACAAAACGAATATTATTTTATTTATTAATAAAATTTAAAAATATAAATAACTACAGTTACAAATAATTTATATATTTAATCTTAGGTGTAACATACAATTAAGAATGCCAAGTACCGTAGTGGTAAGGTGATCCATTTATGGTTTGGAGGTAGTGGGTTCAATTGTCATTCCACTCTTTATTATAATGTTTTGCTTTAAATTTAAGGGGTACCCAACCTCCTGTATCCGAATCCGATTACTACCTAAATCTGTCCCAAACTCGTTTAAACACTATTAAATCCATAAAAATCTGGTTGGGTGCTCGTCGAATTTGATTACTATCCAAACTCATTTAAACACTACCCAAATCCATAAGAATCAGGTCAGGTGCTTGCCAAATCGGGTCATATTGCCATCCCTACCCTTACTCCTCATCTATAAAAGAAATAAAGGGTTTTCGGGTGCTCGCCGGATCGGGTCATATTGCCATCCCTACCCTTACTCCTCATCTATAAAAGAAATAAAGGGTTTTCGGGTGCTCGCCGGATCGGGTCATATTGCCATCCCTACCCTTACTCCTCATCTATAAAAGAAATAAAGGGTTTTCGGGTGCTCGCCGGATCGGGTCATATTGCCATCCCTACCCTTACCGTATATTTATATTTTGTTATGTTCTCAAAAATTGAGTAATGGGTGAATTGTGTATTAGTCCCTGCTTAGAGTAGATTTGGGTTATATATATTGGAGTCAAGATAAATTCTATTAGGATAAGGATTGTGAGAATTTTATGTTATCTGTTAGTTAGAGCTTATTTAAGAGTCTAATATCTTTTTATATTATTCTTTTATATATTACTATTGTATATTTTCAGTAGTCCCTCTTAGTTAGGTGGTTATTTATGTCTAAAAGAGTGTTGATTAAGTGCATTTATTGCTTTTTTTTACACTTATATTATTTGTAGCGCTTTTTTCTATGCGAGATCTTTCCTTTGCTTTTTTCATAAAAAAGGACAACTCATTTTTTTATAGGAAACGAGGCGTTGGTTCGATTGCCGAGGAATATTTAAGTGGTCTTTAAGGGGTGTGTCTTTTTAATGTCTCGCCCCTCTGTATATATATATAGAGGTCATTTTATCTTCATTTTGTCCTACATCCTCATTTTCTCTCTTTAGAGCTTTTCTCTCTAAATTATTTCCAGAGCTTCCTTCTCTAGAATTTCAGAGCTTTTCTCTCTAAAATTTCTCAGTAAGTTTTTCTTGTGTTCTTCTTTTATTTATTATTGAGGTGAGATTATGGGTTGGTTTAGTGACGAAGACGTAGACATTTTGGTCGAGCAGTCTGAGGATGAGAATATGGAGGCGAATGGGTCTGGGGATGAGAACGAGTCCGGGGTGGCGAAGCAAAGAGTATATCGAAGAACATAAGATTCGCTGACATTCCTTCTGATATAAGTGAGGGCGAGTTGCTTACTATAGCCGCTAAGTATGGCCTTGCACCAGAGTACAAGTTGATTCACCCCGAGTCGAACATGCAGATGAACACTCTTATGGTTATTTTTCAAGGTTATTTTTCAACGCGTATGGGATTACTATTAGCCAATTGCATCCCAATTGTTTGAGGCTTTTATGTGGAATAGTTGCTTTAGCTTGCCTCAATGAGACAAACTTAACAGCTCGAGGGGTGGAAGAGCTCTACCGCATACATCATCGAACGACTGAGGATCACTACTTCCTTCAGACGAGGAAAGACTGCAACCTTTTTTACAAGGCGTCCAAGATATCTTCTTTGAAGAATTAGAAGCAAAAGTATTTCATTATTAACCGAGTTGGGAGGTTT